ATTGGCAGTCAATTTAAGCGTTCCCTTGAAAACCATATTCGCTCTTGGAAAATCTCAAACTAGTCTGGAATTTAAAGGTCTCCATTTTGTTTCAGGGTAAAATTGAAAGCAGTTATCGAATAAAAAAAATTGTGTAGGCATAGTTGGGGTTAAATAAATTTTATATTATACCCTTTCCCCAGTGACGTCATGATCCAGAATGGTCGATGAAGCCCAAATGAACATTGTTTTCCATGGCAATCAGACATGGTTTGGTGCTACTATGGTTTAAAAATTTAATGAATGTAACCGAGAAGTTACAATTCCTAGACCCTATGAATTGTAACTTCTCGTCTCTGTATCCTAATGTAGTTATGTCTAGGAGTATACTTGAGATTTCTGACGATTTTTGTTATCCACGTTAATCATTTAGTTTAAGGGGTTGAATGGAAGACAGTTGACATGTGGCGATGCCAGTGGAGGATACCTCGGCTACTAACCTTTAACTCCTTAGATCTGATTGTTAATTCTCCCTTCTAGCTGCTTCACAATTCCTTGCAAATTTAAGTCACGGAAATTTGTTGTTGGATCTAGATAAAAACTTCTACCCGTTAAGTTCTCATTACCTCATTGGTGGATAGCGCATGGGTATCGTGGGGAGAATTTACATGTTAACCACCTCAAGGAGTTGAAGAAAAAAAACAGCGCTGAACAGCTCGCAATGAGCTTATTTTTAGAGTATGCAAGATGTGTAATCTCTTGAGAATACTCAACATATGTTCAAAACAAATTTTCCTTTTAATTGCAGGTTTGAAGGATGATGCCGAACGATCGCGGAAAAAACATACTGACTGACTTAAAAATAAAGTTTATAATACGCTTCCTAGATATATATAGAAAGGAGAGAACTCGAAGTCTTGAAATTAGTGCAATAGTCGTGTAGAAAACAAAGTTACTGATGAGGCAGTTTGCGCTTTTAAAAGGGCTAACCAAAGTTTTTTTTAAATAATTGCCTGGAAGGGAAAATTCTATGAACTTGCAAATTAATATTTTCACTAAAAAACGTTCAAGTCTTATAGAAAAAAGTCTACGTTTTCATATTGTATTTGGTTTTGATCGAAAAATATACTAAGTCTTTTGGCGGGAAAATACTACGGAAAAAAAAAGTCTGCGCTTTTGTTATGTGTCTGGTGTTGATCGAAAAAATATACAGAGTCTTTTGGCGGGAAAAACATATATTGCACTGCGCAATTGGTTTTCTCCCATTAAAAGTCAAGTATATTTCTTGTTTTAACACAAGATTCTGTTCAAATTCGCAGCAAGTTTTTTCCTCTCGGCAACCCTCCATACGCAAAATTTGTTAAAAGAGATAGCCTACATTTTGACTTGTTTCCAGGCCCTTTTAAAAGTGCAAATTTTTGTTCTATAATTGTAAGATATTAAGAAGAAACAGAGACAGCGGTTGAAGTTAAGTCTTTATTTGGTTTGCATCGCATACAATTGTTTAGTAACAATTTAAAATGTTTACAACAATTGATAAGCATCATGCAAAAAAAGTTAGATAAATCATGTCAGACAGATGAATACATGAGAAATAACGTGTTTAATTGGCAAGGCATATCTCTCTAAGTCTGATCAACAAGAAAAATGAATAAGATTGTTGGCAAGATTTTAAAAATCTTTGTTTCAAAAAAATTGATGATATGAACTACGCATTAATTGCCTACGTGAAATAATTACATTGGAATCGAGTGGAAAAAATATAGCTAAAAAGCTAGGACTCCTATTACGTAGAAGGTTAGAAGATTGTTTTGATGGGAAACCACGACACCATTGTGCGACACGAGCAATTGACCCTGGCCTGTAATAACCTTTAAAAAGTTAACTAGCCAATTTAAACCTACGTTCAAAAGAGAAAAATGTGTCTAGTTTCCTAACAAATTAGCCGAGCGTCCTTTTTGAAAAAAACTCGAAAGAATTAAGATTTTTGCTGTTTATGTCAAAAAGATTTGCAATTTGACGATCTTACTGGCTTTTAAAATCCAAACTGTTGAGCATCGTCTAATGTAATGGAAAATTCTGTTCAATTCTAGCCAGATTTACCTAAGTGTCTTCGTTTCGCAATAACTGAAAAAATTTTCCACAGAAAGTCGTGAGGATCTACTGGGGACGTAATTAACAGCCCCCAATTACATTTGTTACCTTGAAAGTCAATTCCATCTTGTCTTTACAAATTAACTACATTCTGTAAGTTCTTCTTCGTCTTCTCTCTGGGTACAGCTGCCTCCACGTCACAGGGAAGTATTATAGGCCCTGCAAATAGATAAGAACATAATATAGTGAACCTCTCAAGAAAACTTTGCCATATGTAGACCGTGGATTACTTGTAAACTTGCTGATAAGGCTAAGTGTTTAAACTCTGCGTTTGATAAAATATCTACTCGTATGGTATCATATCGGTGACCTATTTAGAGTGCTTCGTCCATTTCATTGATTCCTCTATGTTTTGCCTCCTTTTTCTTGCCAGGAAGGTCACAATTGACTTCATTTTCATGTTAGGCTCAAGAACCCAACCTTAGTAATGTCAACTCATTTTCGTGAGGTCAACAGTAACTCAATCTAAATTTCTCCAGGTACAATTTATAGATACGTGCACAAAAAAGATAGAACACTGATTGTTTTACAGGGAAATAACGTATGAGAGCAGGGAAATATTTTAAAACAATATATTAGCAACGTGCAAGTTAAATTAAATTTTGATAGATCAACAAAAAGCTAAAAAAGATGGCTAATACTGAACTTCACCGATTAGCGAGCAAATCTTACATCAAAATTGACAACTCTGCGATTGAAGCGGCCTCAAGTCACATACAGTTGGAATTAGGCCCTAACGACTAATAGATTACACACTCGCACTATTCATCTTGAAAAAGGCTCTTTGAAATCGTTAAAATAATTAGCAGAAATGTTTCCGCTAAAAATTTTCACCCTATTTTACGCACGACAAGAGAAGTTTGTTTGGATTTTACTGGAAACTGAAATAATAATAAAAAAGCAGAACAGCAACCACTTTGTTTGTCTGTTTGATTGATTAATTCTTTGAAAGAGCTGATCACTTCCTTTACATTCCAATCATTCTTTGTCGGTGACGTGAGAATTTATTTGCATCATGCTTATTTCCATACAATTAATTTGTTCACTCCTCCACCAAAATATTTCATTGTATCATCCATTATGCTATTTGGACGCCCGTGACTTAAATCTATAAGATGTTAAATTTGGTTCAGTTAAAAATTAATCTGCCACATAACTAGTGTTTGTCTATACACGACAAGGTAAAATCTCCGCACAGCCCCATACTACATTATGCATTCAGTTCTTGGATGGTGCAAACATTTTGCTGCTTAACTCTTGATTGCTCTACACAGTTACATTGAAATTTCAACTGATTTAAGAAAGCCAACACGATACTTGGCTCGATATATTTTTCCTACTAGCACTGACAAAAAAAACCATTGCCTCGGAGGCAAAAGCCACATGTACATATAATGAGTCTATTTTGAACGACTCAGATACGGAAGCCCACCTTTACGTAGTTGCTTTCGTTTCCAGTCTATCCAGTCTTGTGGTTTACTCGGACGTTTTCTTGTAGTAGCTTATCTACAAGAAACACAAATATCAATTTAATTTCTCCTTGTTCAAGTTGCTTTGACAGCCATAGTTGTTAAATGAATTAAATCGGGTCTAACACAGTAGAGCGAAAAAACCCTCTACACTAGAACAGCTCTGGTGTTCTCTGCTTCGTAACCACCTTTAAGCATCTTTTACCTCTTTTCACCCACAAGTTTCCTTACCATAATTTATTTTGGAACTTCTACTTCGGTTTGCCTGGTTATCAGCAAGAGAGGAAAGATTTCCGGAACACCATATTATTTTAAAACAATATCGTAGTCCTAAAGGCAATCCATTGTCCCCTGCCACTGTTTTCTTTATCCAAGGACTGTATTTATAATGAAGTATGGGGTTGTACGGAAATCATGCCGGAATTTTTGTCTTAAACAAAATTTACCCTGTAAGGGCTGACGAATACAACTTACCGGTAAATATGCCGCAACATTTTTCTCTAATAATATTTCTGTCGTTTCTCTAAACGAGAATCTTAGTGCAGTGAAACTTGTTGAGAATATCTCTTCAAACACTTCCTTTATCATAAAGAATTCTTTCGACCCCATTCAGCGCGTTGAGAAACATCTGAAAAGTTGAATTCATGCCCACTCTTACCGTGTGCTCTTTGGCGAGAAAGACATCTTGGAGTGTGCTTTCCATAACAAGTCCTCTAGCACGGGCCCTTATGCTTTGCCTCTAGTCGCGTATGGAGGTTACTCTTGGTAAGTTGATGAGTTTTCCGGATCGGATGTGAATCCGCTCAGACCATGTGGAAGCAGAAAATGTAAATAAGATGAAAGTTCCGCACGTGCAAATCACTGTAGCCTCACCCTGGAAACGAGGTCGATGTACATTAACATAGCGAAGGTTGTGCTTCGAGAGTGGAATTTCACTGTTGATACAGTTTTCTAAGGGAACCGATTTTAATGCAAGTTTTTTAATTGATTGAAAATTAATGGGAAGGAAAGAGGAAATGTAGTTTTAGAAAAAACGAAGGAACGTGTATAGGACTAAGAAAACATTGGGGAATGGAGGGAACTTGAAGATTTTATATCCATCCTGCGTCGTGGCGCTCAGGTTGTTGTAGCCTATATTACAACTAACTTTTGCACATGTGTTATTCACAGAGCATTCAGCCATGTTTGATTGATCGAGGCTCATCTCAAACCCAGACCTCGCTCGGTATGCAACTTTTCTCACGACCGCAGGAGACTTGGTTATATGATTACTTAAACTAAAAACACCTGAGAACAAAAAGCAATATACAAAATTTATTTCCGTTCGATGAAAATTTGAGACTTGATGAGAAACTGTGAGAAAATAATTAAACTCTTAGGATTTATCAAGATTATAAACTTTATTATTATCATTAATATCATAAAAAGAATTTTTTCTTGCAGCCTTTCTCTATTCATTTCTTTCAGTATCCACAGTCCTCTCTCTTCTTTGTACAAACCAAAAGACTGGGTCCAAACGCTAACGTTTGGTGCAGTCATCCACGTGACACGCGCTTATGTTAAAATCTTTCACCCTTAAATTCTCACGCCATAATAGATACTAAGGCTCTCAGAGAAAATCATTATATTCTACGGAACACTGACAAAGCAGCTTCTCTTCAGTCTTTTAAAAGTTTTGGGAGCGAACAGTTTAAATTAACGACGACATACCACACAAAAAAATAAAAATGAAAATAAATAAGTAACTTAGAAGGCAAAATAAACCAGTGGTTTACTTTTCTAACAAAATACAGGACTTAAGTAGTAAGCCTTGAAAGGATTATTCACAAATATCCATTCACGTTAGCAAACGAACAAAAAAGTTTTCCAGCCAAAACTTCAAAAAGACGAATTTGGTTTCAAACGCTGTTATTTTGAGTTAAATTAGTGACACTAAGGGGCATGGAAAGTCGAAGCGTTAGTATCACTGGCGCTGGCGTTTTTATATGAAGAATAAATGTATATAAAATCTGTATTAATATTAGTAACTTCTATTTGGTTAATTTAAGCAGCTATTCTGAGCCCGCTGCTCCAGTCAGCAGTGTCATTCATGTCGGGACAGAGCACAACGCCGTCGGAATTCCTGACCTCGCTCATGGATCCACTTGTTTGCCACTGAAACGTAAAGATACGACAGTTATTTCATGGCGAGACTTAAGTTTTGGTAAAAAACTTGGATTAAATCGCGTCAAATCATAAACCATTCCTTTTCGTGCGCGAAATCGAGTAACTCGTAAGCACTGCGATGTTTTGTAAGCAATGGTACTCAAAACCAAACACACACAACACTAGCAGCAATCATGATTTAGTAACTTGCACTTTCCCGCACTTAAGTCAGTCTTATTTTTCAGCAACGCTCATTGGTTCCTTGTCGTATTTACCTTGATTATGATTGGCTGTTGCATTTACAATAACTACAGTGTTACGACACACAATCAAAAAGCGCTCTCCTGACATAATTATATTCAATACTACATCTTTGTGCGATGCAACATTTACTTAGAATATTGCCTCTCACCCCATTTACTGCCAACCAATACTGGACAGCCAGCATGTCTTGTGCTGTCATCTCCATCTCCACTGCGCTTCAAGTTCCACCAGAAAGCAGCGTCTCCCTGTTGGTATAATTTAGAAGAGAGCATTTACTGCGAGGTCAGAAACTTATACAAAGATTTTAAAAAATCTAAAATTATTTTTAAAAAATATGACAAATATGTAGGGGTGGGCGAGGTGCACACCTGCGCTGGGTCAGCATCGAGTGCGGGACCAACAGAAATACTACCAAGTCGCTAGATGCTATGAAAACCGGAATAACTCCCACCCCCCTTCCCCCTGAAGTAATGGCGGAGAAGGAGAATGCAAAGGATTTAACTTCAGGTTGCAAACGTATCCGTATAAAGGCCCAGCCAACGCACGCAACATTTCAACACAACATTCTGCAACATTGTTGCGCGCAACGTACGGCATACTCTTGGCCTCCCTGTAACAACATGTTGCAACAAGTTGGATGGTATTGGATCAAGTTTGAAAATGGTCAAATTTTTTTGCAACATTTTTGGATGTTGCAAGATGATGCACGCGTTTGGCCAGCCCCTTCACAACTTCTCACAACACGATCCAACAGTGTTGTAAGATGTTGCTTTGAAATGTTGTGTGCGTTTGCTGGGCCTTTCAATACAAAAAAACTCGCGCACACGACAACTTTAAAATACACCTCTCTCCATCTTTCGTAACAGTTTAGACTATCAACATTTCCCTGACCTGGCTGGGAAATAAAGTTGTGCCAACTTGTGTAAACACCGTACCGCCACCAGCTTCGACATTACTCATCTGGAAAGAAAAAAAACAAACAAACAAATAACAAATGTAAAGCACGATGAAGTATGTCCAGCAATGAACGATCACGGCAATTCTCAATTGAGAATCGAAAGTAATCCGAGATTGCGTTAGTTTTCCTTACTTAGCTCTGCGATTGGTCCAGAAAACTTGTATCCCTCTTTCAACCAATCAGGTGCAAACTAAGACCAATCGCGACTTGGTCGCCCGTGTTTTCCCGCGCTTTAGGCAGTTTGGTTGCTTTAACTTTTAGTTCTTATTGGCTCATAAAGTTATTTTCCTTCATTCTGATTAGCTGCTGTGATATCTTTGCTTTTGTTTTACGACACTCAATCGAAAAGCACTCTAAAAGGACTGGTGACTTACGTAAGCCAAGAAGGTGGCGATTCTGTTTCCCGTGCCAAGAGATGTAAACTTGTCTTCATTATTCTGTAAAATAATAGACATAGAAACGATGTATCCATGAATAACAAAAAAGATATCCAGTCAGTTGGTTAGTCAGTTCTTCCGTTTGTCTGTCAAACAGTTTTAAAAACGCTGAGTAAGTCCGTCGTCCGATCCACCATCCTTCCGTCTGCGAGTCCAGTTCTACGTTAGGGAGTTTAAGTGACAAAGAATACGGATCAATGTCAGTATCTAAGCAAGCACGCACCTTCCCCTCCTTCACTTGTTATCAGTTGACTGTTATTGGGTCAAGGGAGGGGTAAGTGTGCAGTTACTCTCATACAGACATAAATAAACGAATACTTACCCGTGCAAAATCGTAGTGCGGTTCATAATGACCAGCAATACCATAGTTTACAATCTGCAAGAAAAACATTCATAAAGCAAGTAAAAAGAATGGGTCTCTAAATCAAACTAGATCTAGAAGTTATTTTTCCCAATGACATCTGTATGCTTGACTTGGGATGAGTATCCTAATGGGAGCATTTTACTGATAATGGCAATGGTTCCTAAATTCAATTCTACGTAATAGGCTGCACATACCTGTAGTTCTTCAGCTGTGTCCATCGTTAAGCCTGTTACATCTTCAATGCGCAAACTCACTCGTCTTACAAGTTCGTGGTCAGTGTCTTTCAACCAGCCACTTACAAAATGTAAAAAAGTAAAAAATAACAAACAAAAGTAAATAAACAGAAAATGGACAGGAAGAAAAAATGTAAACTCACGTTGAGCAAGGCAACAAACCGATGAAAAAAGCAAAGAGATTCAAATTAAACTAAAGAAACAAATTCTTTTAACAGAGTATTCTTAGTTTCAAAGTTTCCACAAGTTTTAAAGTTTCGATTTTCGATAAAGTTCAAAGTTTTCATCCCTCTATTGGACAGATAACGAGGAAAAGAATCTCGAACGGCCTTGAAACTGTAGTACTGTCAATGAAATGTCATTCAAACGATAATGGTTATTTAAACTAAAGGCTTCCTATGTACATTGTGTTAAGGGAACACGCTGGTTTAAAGAAATATTTCAATTTTTGATCAAAAGAATTTCAGTTATAAGTTAAAATAATCAGCTATAAAATCACAGCGACGTAAGTTTAGCTTAATTAGTGTGGATTTAATTGTTTCTCTTTAGAGTCAAGCATTAAACTTTGGTTAGGGAGAGGCCTGCAAGTTAGGAGGTTGAAATATCGATTGAGAAAATTTTTACACTAGTAATCCAACGAGATCGGTCGTTTATGTGGTTCATTCAAGAGAGACAGCTGTTGTCTAACTGCTATGTAAGAAAAATTATAAAGCATTACATTTCTAAATAACACGCAAACAAGGAGGTTACTTTTGAAAGTAAAAGAGTCCGTCAAATAAAGGAAACAATCAAATTAGTGTCAGTAACGACTTAGTAAGCCATGAAGTTTTACACCTCCATGAATCTTGACAGTTAAATACATTATTGAAGTACAAACTACTTGTTTCATTTTCCTAACTCTGGCGCATTTTTTATTTTTTATTACGCGGTCACTCGCGGAGAATGGCGTGGTGACGGCTTATTACAAGTTGACAGTTTAATACAAGTTCCATTGAATAAGGGGTACTATGAGACACGATGATAAAACACCATTTTATGCCATAAATGCCATTTGATGTACAAACACTCGCTCAAAAATACTACTAACATTGATTATTTTGAGATAATGATGGTATTAATTTTACTCGAAAGATTATTCTTAGTTCTATTTGAGTAGCTGTGCTCTAAGTGAACGTTCAAAACAGGTGGAAAACAGTACAACAAACAGGTCGTTGAGACTCAGTAAAGGGTGGCCACGACCTTTAAATATAGTACTAAACGGGAAAGAAAAAACGACATTTTGAAAACCGACCGCTTAATACAGGGTGACTGCTTTAAGAATACGGTGCCGCTTAATACAGGATCGACTGATCATACGAATGTGTTCTAAAGTTGTCCCCAAAAAGTAGCAAGAACCAACCTTTTGCTTATGCGGTAGGACGCAAATTCAAGGTTTCCCGTGACTGGATGTTGAATTGTCGCACGACGAAGCTGTTTGGAAACGTTTACAGATAAAACAAGTTAGTTAGATTATTTTAGTGAGTGATTTCCAAATGAGAATCGACAGTAATGAAAAGCTGCTCAAGTTTCCCCTAATACACCTTCTAACTGGCCTAGAATTTTCACGCCACCTCCTACGTCCGTCATATGCAAACCCAACCCAGCAGAGAATCCGCCAAATGTGTTTCCCGCGCTTGGCGCTGATTATGCATAATCACACGCGTGACACTGGTTGGGTATTTTCCCGCGCTTTACGTTCATTGCATGTTTCGCCGCGCTTGACACCGTTTATATGTTTTCCCGCGCTTGAAGTTGAGTGCATCTCTTCCCGCGCTTGACGTCGGTTACAAGCTTTCCCGCGTTTGACGCCGGTTAAATGTTTCCCGCGCTTAGCGATAATTTTACGTTCACCCGCTCCTCTCAATGGTTCCTTATTTTTTCCTGCTTCACGTTGGTTGCGCGTTGCTCGCGCTTAGCGCGGCGTGATGCAAACTTTCTTTCCTTTCTTTCTTCCCCTTTCCCACCCACTAATTGTTTTTTTCAATTGTATTGACCTTTGGCCTTTGTAATTTTGCTTTTTGGGAGGGCTACAGCACAGTCGCCCTTGCAATTAAAAATGTTCTCTAGAGTTCACCAACAAACCTAATGGTTTAAAACTGATGAAAAAAAAATTCTGATTCTTGATAAACTCACAAAGTTTAAAGAAAAAATAATTACCAGAAGAGCTCGAGAGCCACCTCCAATTTACAGAACAGTAACTGAACAAAACTTAAATACAAAACACCTCCAAAATAAACAACTGATATCTCTCGCCACGTTAAACACACCATGCTTCTGAAATTGCTTCTCCTCGCGCTGCGCTGGTCGCACATGAATATAGTTAACTGCCGAGCTCACATATAGCTCCCTGAGGTTTAGTTGAAGAAGCACACGACTGCAAAGTCAGAAGGTCTGGGTTTCAATACCTTGTGGGAAACCGCAAACAAAAAAAAATAACTGCTTTCTCTATTTAAACTGAAGAGTGTTTCTTGTTAGAGTGCTCTGTTAGATCATTGAGCACAGCCTTGTAAGTGATTGAAAAGAACAAATCTACTTGTAATTCGTTGTCGTGCAGTATTTTAGGGCTGCCAGTCCATACTTAAGAACAGTTACCCATCAACAATGGAAAAAAAAATAAGCTGGCTCATACATACTAGTGACACAGACGCGTGCATGCTTATGTGCGTATCTACGCAACTTAAACGCGCATTCGCTTATATTTACACGCCCGTACGCCGACACTCATACGCGTATTATGTGCGTATTTTGATCAACGTATTTTTCAGCGTTATTGAAGGAACATGGGTAAGGAGTAATGAAAAATTGAGAGTAGTCTGCATAATCTGAAAGGTCATGAACACGAAAAATCAATATACAGTGAGCACTGGATGAAACTTCAGCTATATATACCTCACTTTAACTCATTACGAACGGCTTCTCTGAAAATACATTTTTCTAGTCCAATATTTTGTTACAACAAACACGATTAAAAAAGGTATTCGACATCTATGAGAAATTCAGTTAAATCCACACTTGATTTGCAGCCGTTACAAAAAGAAAAAATTAGTTTCGACACTCATGTTGAAATAAAGGTGTCTACTATATGGCTGCCTAAAATTTGGGATCAATGTCAATATCTGAGCACCTGTGTACCTACCCCTCCCCTAACCCAAAATTACCTACCCCTCCCCAAGCCCAAAATTAACCCTTAACTTGTTATCATTGACTGGGTTAGGGGAGGGGTAAGTGTACAATTGTTCAGATACTGATTTTCATCCAAAATTTGAACACGCTGTCCACAAACCTCTTACTAACTCTATCTTCAGTTGTCTCTAACGTTCCATCATCGAGAGTTACTGTTGCACGTTCAAACTACACAATTTGGACAAAATGCAATTAAAAGCAAGAAGTTGTGGTTGCAGTACAAATGTAAGTTTTATCCCGACAGGAAAAGTTATCAGTCTTGGAATAAAGACAAGTCTTATAACGGACGACTGATTAAAAAGCAACAATTTTTATAGGGCCACACCCTGGGTGAAGACCTGGTTAAACGCGATTTATTTTATTAAGCACCTAATTTTTGGAATGCTCTAAAATATCTAGGTCATTCTGTCACGTTGAATTTGAAAACCACATCATGGAAAGATTCTCAATAATTTTAGCTGGTTTGCATTGTAAAACAAAGTAAGATATTTCAAGAAAAAGAACTGCTTTCCACGCACTGATAGAAATGATGCTCAGTTACTCCACTCTGAATGACCTCACACCATAACATCAATAAGCATATTCCTCATACTATTCCCTACACATTTTCTGAGGTGCTGACAAGGAGAATATGATTAACAATCAAGAACTCCTGTAGTGGGTGATCATTTTCTATATTCTCGTGACTTTCATGTATGAAATGCGGGCGATATTGTTGGGAGAAATTAGATGATGATGACTCGTAAAGATCAAAGGGTTTAATTTTAAGAACCACGCTCTTTAGCATAAATGAATGTACATGTACTTCTGCCTCACATAAAAATAACTGCTTCATAGCTTTTATCTGAAGTTCAACATTAACACACCAGAGTCAAATCCATCTTACACAGCTCAACAAGCAGTATCACATCAAACGAACGATTCTTATGATCTGAGTATAATGACATCCAGTTTTTTGGCTAGATTCCAAATTCAAGCATTCCTTTGAAATCAACTACGACCACCTAACTCGATGCTGGATATTTTATACACAATGAATCATTTGACTGACATTTGAATGACAGTTCTGAAGTTTCAAAGGATGGCCATTTTGCTCAGTGACACAGCCCATGCAATTTATGTTACCTTTTTTCAATAGGATAATAACAAAAGTATGAGCATGTATTAGCGGAACACTCTGAATAATTTCCTAATTAACTTCCTTAAAAGGTAATTTTGTGATGCTGATGATCTGATGATGTCAGTTGTAGACCAGCATTTTGAACTTAAAACTTGTGGAAAACAGGTAAATTGAAGATAAGTGTAAGATACTCATGTACATATTCAGTAACAGGTGTAAAAAGTTGTTTTTGATTACCAAACAACAGCATAAATTACCTCTTGCTCACTCTATATTTAGCATGTTCTAGCAAACCACTTTTGGAGCTTCTAACAGTGGCACGACGGAGCTGATCATATAAAATTCAATAACACAATCATTTATAATGTAGTAAACCTGTATGGTGTGACTGTCAGAGAGAGGGTAGTCTTGAAAGAAGATTGTTTCTTGTCTACAATAGTAAAACAGTATCTGATGTTTCAAAAACCTTGGCATTCATCATTAGAGTGAAGGTTACATCCACCTTGTATGAAGAAATGCTTGTCTGTCAAACATTACTAAAGGTCATTTTCAATTCCGCATCATTAGAAATCCATGATTGCTTTTGTTCAGCTATACTTCATTCTGTGGTTGGTTCAGAAAAGTTGCACCAAGTTCTCAAATAATCAGATGCCCACCTAAAACCAATCCTGCCTTGGCCACCTGCATTTTCCTACATTTAAAGTACTTTGGTTATTTCAGTTTAAGTTCTCATTGGCTCTTAAAGATATTTTCCTTTCTTTTAGTCGGCTCTTGTGATTACTTTGTTTTGGTTTTTATGACACTTATTTGGAAAGCACTTTGTATTGTTTGTGGAAGCTGGTTGGTCAGTTTTCCTGTGAGATTGACGACTGCATGTATATCTTAATTAAGTAGCAGTCATTGCTGTTTAAACTTAGGAAAGAAGGAAGGACTCCATTACACAGATATTAACAACAAGTGTAATCAGCATAATGTTAGTAGTAATAATACTGATGTGGCAGCTATTATCAGCCATACACTGTACTAGATTACAGAAAATAATGTTTCTGGTAGAGGTAATATTTCATATTGAAAGCACTATTTCATATGATTTGTATATTCAACTAGTGGAAGAAATGTGTGAAAAATTGATCCTCAAAATAAAACTGTCTAAAAAAAAATCTGCAGAAAGTCAAGCCCTGTGTTTTGCAGAGGCGCACAAAAAGACAAATTGTTTTCTCCCAACAAAATTTTTCTGAAGGAATGTCGAGGTCACCCAAGAGCCATGGTGTGTAACAAAACTTAAGCATAAAAATTAAACCTTTAAACCTTCCAAAAATTAACAAGACTCCTGAACTGTTCATCAAAAATTTGAACTAGCTGATCAACATGTGCAACATTGGCCTCAAGGGAAATAACAGGAGAGATAAGCTGATAACTACTGATGCTTCCAAAAGATCATCGGCAAGTTCTGAAAAAACATTCCTTCAAACTTTTGCAAGGTGCTAAACCAATCTTGTAAGAAAAGTGTTATTTGAATGAGAAAAAATATCATTTTCAATTCAAAGGCCTCACCCCTACTCTCATTTAAACATGAGGGCTGAGAAGCAGCTTGGAAATGGCCCACGAAGAAGCCTTGTCCTTATGATTTGAGGCAAGATTGTTCATAACCCAACTGACACTAATCCTGATACTGCCACAAATTAAAATTGTACCTACTTGTGCTGATAACAGTTACATGACTGTATAATTAATCAGCCACAGGCCTTCCCTAACAGTCTATATGCCTTCCTTTTTACCCATTAAGATTGTGTGTTTGACAAATTTATTATTTCAAAAAGCGGATTTAAGTTTTGGACAAGAACTAATGAAAATCACAAAGCATAATTTGGAAATTTAGAATGTGTCTTAAATAGGCTACTAGCTTCAGAAAAATTGAGCATTTCATGAACCAATGCTGATAAAATTCCCATTTTCTCCTCTGTTTCAAATATACTTTTATCTTCTTTACTCAAAAACTACTCTGAATTTTCCTTTACAACATTGAATTACATGCAGATTAGAATACTGCACTGAGCTGTTGTTTCTTTCATATTAAAATAGATTCAATTACAAATAAAAAAAGAACTATTACGAAAAACTTTGGTACATTACCCTTGGCGCGGCCAACTCTTTTATCTTGTTCATCTCTGGCACTGTTAGGATTTGGCGCATTATTATAATTTCTGGCTTTAAAAACACTCTTTCAAACTTTGCCGGCCTGATTCTTAATCTTGGTGTACCACTGTAGTACCAGCACAACATTTTACTTTGTTCCCATGCAGTCTATGAAATAGAAAATTAGAAAGTTAAATTAGGAGTTGGAAGATACTATCTATGCAAACTTGCAATGCTCTAAAGACAAACAGTTTGTGTATAATCCTTCTGTAAATACTCCTTGCTCTAAGTGTTATTGGCAATGCTAGGACAAAAGTCATTGTTGTTCTTTAAATCTACTCACCAAATTTCTAACTTCTCCCCTGCAGAGTTTTTCATAGTTTTGGAAGGAGGATGTTCGGTGCCAGTTGTCACGCTCACTCCTTGGTTTTACTTTAGTGTCAGTGATAATCCCAGTATCTCCTCGGCGACCAGTCTGTTTGTACATCTTCACTTCTTCTCCAAAGAAAGCAACATTCCCTTGTGCTCGTTCATGCAAGGGATCTATAAAAAGATTAAAAAATACGCTAGAAAAATGATAAAAAATTATTCACTTTAACTTTCATTCATGATCTGTGTTTCAAATAGTTATTTTAAATCAATTTAAACATCATAAAGAAAATGTCTTTGATCAAGGGATTGTCTTTAATTTAAACATTAAACATAGCAACATCTTGAATATAGATGTAGTGGTTTTCTAATGTAGAGTAACTCCAAGACTTGAGAATTAACCAAAAAGAAACACTGATGGTTTAGAATGGAGATGATTGCCATGTATTGCACATGAAAAGCTTAACAGGCCATTTTACAGTTGTGTACTTAGTTGCCAAGCCTTTGATTTGGAGTGAGGCTGAAGGTGACCTTGTTGTGATAGAGACCAGTATCTAATTAGCATGATAACAAAGTAATTTGCAGCAAGGTTTGTATCATAACAAGGTCACCCTTACCCTCATTCCTGTTCAAAGGCTTAGCAACCAAGCACACAACTGTAAAATGGACTATTAGGCTATATATTTCAAGACAGGAATTAAACTTTGCTTGAATCCCATAGATGTAGTCAGAGTGTGGTAGTGTAACTCACCAAGCTCTACCATCTTCTTGGAGTACTCTAACGCCTTCCTCATGTTACCTCGCTGAAACATGCACAGACAAAGCTGTCAGCAAATTGTGCCAAGGTGGCAGACTTACAGAAAATAAATAAATGAATTTATTGTGAGATTCAGAAAACAATTCACACTTTGATTTGATACCCACAACTCCATTGTGTACTGCCCAATCATAACTGTTACAATAAAGGCGGGGAAATGCCAGCATATATAAAAACTACAAAATGATTGGGGCTATTGTTGATATTTGTTGTTTATTTTTCCAATCTCTGATAACTCTTACAACAAAATAAGGTGACATAACATTTCTGGCATTCATAGCTTTCCTAGATCCACAAGTAATAACTCTGGAAATGAAACATCACTTTGCAGCTGAAAAGACCATAAAAGATTTAGGTAAGCTTATGCTTACTTAAGCATAGTAGACTTAATAAATCATATTTAGCAGGTTGTGTACCTTGTAATTAGAGTATGCGAGGTGATCATAGATGTCAAAGAGATTAACTCCCTCTAAATCATCCTGTTGCTTAATGTATTGTTTCAGTGATTCCTCCATCCATGACCTTGTGTAAAACATATCGCCATTCAAATAAGCATGTCGTCCAATATCATAAACCTCACCAACTGTCATTTTGGGTGATGGGACAGCGTCTGTCAGCTTGCCTTCTGTAAATGATGACGGTTGAATTTGGTAGGTGTCTTGAAGTCGCAGGAGGGCAGTGATTGCTCCTTCATAATCTTCTTTTGATGAAAGTGCCTCTTTATGCTTGGTTATGGCATCACTTACAGCTGCCAGACATAGAAGAGTAATAAGCATTTTAATTTCTCCCACTAATTTTTACATAAATCATGTTAATTGGTGATCAATGATTTTTTCCATCTAATTTGATCCCTTCACCCTAAGAGTGACTAGCATCTAATTTGTCCTGATGGTTTAATTCACTAATTGAAATATTAAAGACATGAAAATGAAGAAAATTATTGCCAAATAAAGAAGTTGTTGACTGTTTAAAATATTCTCCTTTCAGTACCGTAGGAAATATACAGAAGAGAGTCTAGAGAATGTGCACATTGATGCTAGCATCAATGTAGAATATAGCTGACCCTCCACTCAAGGGACACCTCCCTGAAGTGATTAACTTAAAACTTCTCCCTACAATATCCTTAACATTATTCAGCAAACAGGTGATGAGAATATTCAAACTCATCAGGTAGAAGCTGCTTTCTTGATCTGGCACCAAGGTCTCATAACTAATTTACAAGGAAATGTGTAGCAGCTAGAGGGGAGAATTAACAATTAGATCTTGGGAGTTAAAGGGTTAAAATATCAATACATTATCAAGCAGGCTAGTGATGAGAATAAACAAAAATATCAATATTAGGAGATTATTAGTTGATCCAATAACAAATTCTCCAAGCTAACACCTTGAGAACTATATCGCTGACAGGAAGGAGAATTACTAATGAGAAGTGGGAGTGGGTTAAAGGTTAAAACTATACGTGGAAACATTCATAGCCAAATGGTGAGCATATTTAACTATGCATCGAGTCATCCAGGTTTTGTCCTTGACTGGGTCAGTGTTTGGGTTCTTAAGCAGGAGGCACTATTATCACTGAACCCCTCTCTACTCAGGAGTAAACTGTATAAATTAGTACCAACCAACTATGCAATTCATAACTAGGTGCAATACTAAGGAGGGAAATGGACCAGCTTCAATTCCAGGGGAGTGGCAATACTCCTTATCATTTCATGTTACTGAAGACCCCCTTCCCACCCCCCACCCCCCCCCAATAAAAAGGCATTTGCCTCAAAATTGTTATTGAAAGTTTTCATTTCAAGAACATATAGACAAAAGTTTAATTATTGCTTACAAAATATAGAAATAAATTAGATCACCGCATTAATTACCTTTGAATAAAAAATATCATGTGACTGGACCCTATTTGATCAAAAGCCCAAAGATGTTCTAATAGATATTATAATTCCCATTTAAGCAAAATTGTGAATCAAGAAATTGATAATTTGCATATACAAATAGCTTGGAATAAGAATATTTTCATGTTTCTATCAAAAGGAAGTTTTGATAATTGTGTAAAGTCATACTACTCCAAAAGAAATAAATAAATCTAATATCATACTTTATGAAAAATTTAACAAAGTTTCTCATAACAAAGAGCACTGAATTGTCCCAATTTTAATTTCGATTGAATCACTATTTCGAATTTGGCGATAATGGATGTATATATTTTTTTTATTGACATCAGCTGCATCGCGATTCAAATGAGAAACATTTACAGCTGTTTCTTAAGACACACGTTAATGGCTTGACAATTCACGATATCAAACAATTGCTGTCTTAGAACTGACGATCGTTTGATCATTAGACATTTTTTACAAGACACACGACTTACCCTCAGAATTATCGATTTGAATCAATTTCTCTGCTTCAGGCCAATCTTTATATAATCTCCTGATCTGGAGATAAGAATTTACAGGATGTCCTAAATACCTTGGTACATCTTCTCCTACCAGATTGTGTGCGGAATCCACTCGAGCGAGAAACTTCTTCAATTTGGTTATCCTTTCTTGTTCTAAATTCACGTATTGTTCTAAAGTAAATCTTAATTCTCGTTCTCTATACACCAACTGTTCCAGATCGACTAAGGCCGTAAAAAGCTCGCCCCGAGCTCTGCTCAAAATTAGGGCTGAGGTAAGTATTAGCAATGGAAACCTAAGATACAACAAAAACGCGGCCATTTCCCAGCCTTTGCCACGGCGGAAGGTTGACCCATGTGAGAATTACAGGAATGGTGAAGCCAATACTCTAATGAGAATTGAAATATTGATCTATCTGTCAAAATAAACAAACACCACTTAACTCGATAAAACCGCTGAACTTACATCAGCCCGTTGACTTACGGTCAACTTAAATTAAATTAGTCTGATCATCATGGATTGTGCTCGAAATGTTTCAATTTTCATCAAAAACTACCCCGAGGTCTATTACCGAAATTTTATTTTCTTCTTACTGGCGTGACCACGGAGCAGCAAACCTGCCAAAATAACACAACGTTTCTTTCATTAGCAAACAATCAATAATTGATCTCGTTGAGTCCTCAGAGTCAGTTAGAGCGCCTGACAAAACGCACGTTTCAGTATCAAGTTGATACCTTCCATGTTCATGAAAATTGTTTTCGAAATTTCTAACGTGGGTTTCGTTAAGTCGCCGATAGACTTATAGGGAAATCAAATCCTTAAATTTGTAGAGTTTTAATCAAAATATAAATGGCTGATTTATTTTAACAATTTGGAAAGTCTGAAATGCGCAATGCACAGTGTCCAATAACCTTTTCCAAAATATATTTATCTTGATTAATTTGCAAATGTAGTTTAAAGATCTGGTAGGACGCCTTTGGTCACTATGGAAATCATTCCAGCTGCAGATAATTTTTTTGTCTTTGCAAAATAGCAGACCGTTTGACTGACATGGAGCTTTGAAAGAAGGAAACTGATTTCGCCGAGAAAAAAAGACAGAAAAAAAACAATAATAATTTTGAAAAAGAAAGCATTTTGCGACATCACAGCTTTCTTTTTCAGGTTTTGTACTGCTCGCCTCAGGTTTCCCTCGGACATTCCACCCGTCTTCTAACAACAAAAATCTCAAACTGAAAAACATATCTGTGCGTGGTTTACTCAGCTGAATAATACCATTAGTTGAATAAATCTTCCTTATAGTGTCTTTAAACAGCTTGAATGTTAAATGCCTCCGGCAAGAAAGTTCCACAAAACCTTCAAAATCTTGCTCGTGTCCAGATTCCTCTCTCCTTCCTAAACAATTGGAAGACCGGTCTGACACCTGTTAAAGAATTCACTGAGATTCTTTTCAGGAAGCTACGTATACACGGTGGAAGAAACGAGAGAAACGGATAAACATGACGAGAAATGAAACGAAATACTCATTCCTCCCTTATTGTTCCTAGAGAAAAGCCAAATTATCGAGCAATTTTTAGGGGGCGAAAAAAATTCCTGCTCAAAGCGATCGTTCACATCTGTTTCCAAGTCTTTCAAGTGTGACACAGAAAATTTCACCCAATAAATAATTAATAATTTGAAAACTTATCCTCGCGAAATTGGCGAGTGCAATCTCACAGGTCACATGTATTGCACTAACTGAAGATTTCAGTGTCTCAGCGAGGAGAAAATGGACACTCGATGCTGGTTTATAATTTTTATACTATCGCAATTTCACAGTCTGTATCGTCGAAAATTCTTTGCCAACGGAGATAGCTTTGCTTCTATAGCGCAAATGAAACAAATCGTCGATTTGGAGATGAAGTTAGGTCAAAGCCTGGAGAGATTTGTCGAGTTAGAGAAGAGTCGATTGGAAAAAGTAAAGCAATTTTCTAAAAGTGTCAAGGAAGCCATGAATCAAGTTCAATTAGAAGGACCAAAATCTCTCGAGAATCCTGCGACATCTTATGCTGTGATCAAAAGATTTGCGAACGGATGGACGGAGCTTGGAAATTTTTTAGAGAAGGACTATTCCAGCGGTAAGGATAATCATTACACGATAAGACCTAATTGCTTCTCTGTTAAGTGTCAATGGGAAAACATTGTTTGGGTTGGTAGTTTTGGGTTAGATTTAGGTCGTCATGACCAAACGGGACTAACCTGAATTTCAACTGAAAAGGAATTGCAAATTTTCATTTCTCTCCGTCCCTGATTTTAGCAGGAAGAGCTGCGGTCGCATTGTTTATACTAACAAACAATAAATACAAATCGTGATACAAGCACGTGGCGGACAAATCAGAAAACTTCAACGATATAATTAAAGCAATCAGAAAAAATATTCTGGATCGTTTAAGGCGTTTGTAAGAGACTTTTTTTTTTCTTCACAAGACCATCATTTACCAGATCAGATTTCCGCGTTTTTTTATTAAGAGGTTATTAGTTGCGGTCTGATAGTTATCAGCTTTGAATATTTGTTGTTCAAAGCCGATATCCTGCCGTGAAAATTCAGTCTTATCCATCAGTATAAAGCAAATCAAGGCGGAAATGAAATGAACCAATGAGAGTAGAAGGGCGGCGACTGACGACGTTTACTCAGCGCACTCTGTCATTGGGGTAAGGAGACTTACGTCACCATCTCAATAAATGTAGTGACCAGTTTGAAGATCGCTAGAATCCATGAGTGCAACTTGCGATTGAAGTAGCAAAGCTTTGACCTATCACATCTCTACCACAGATTTACAAAATCTACTCAAGTCAAACAAATGGCAGTTTCCAACTCACAATGAAGATCTTCTGGGTGCCATGGCGGCTATGTTTCGGCTCCAAGATACCTATAATATATCTGCAGTTGACATGGCTGATAATAACATAATAGGTGAGCGACGTAGAGGCCTTTCACAAATTAATGAATTGATTTTGTGGATCAATGTCAGTATCTTAGCCACTGCGCACTTACCCCTCCCCCTAACACGACATCAACCGTTATTTGTTATCAGTTGACTGTTTTGGGTCAGGGGTACGCAGTTATTCAGATATTGACATCGATCTACTTTTGTGTTTTCTCCAAGAGACCAGGTGAACTGATATTTAGTGCTCTGACTCCGTCGAACTTCAGCAGAATTTCATTTTTTTGTGTTCTTGAGCAAGAATCTAAACTCTCTCCACGTACATGTAAATAGTATAAAGTACTGGAGAACTGACAAGGAACCTTAACGACTTGCCGGAGGGAAGGTTGGATGGGGTCTCGATGGACTAAGATCCCATCGTTGCAGGTGGGGCAGCAATGCCTGAAGTCGCCTCAAGCCACACCCTGATAAGGATGGGTCCCGGGAAGCATATGAAAGTTTTAAGGGTTTTACTCTCTCTCCTCTGCACGATTCACTATCGATTCTGCTACAGTTCAGAAGCATTTTATCACACCAGGTTTTCTTTCATGTATCATCTTCTAGGTTGCGGAGCCGCTCCAAAGCTTTTAGCCGAAGACTGTTTCGATCTTGGAACTGTGGCGTATCAAGCCGGTCGATACACACAGGCAAGAGACTGGCTTAGATTAGCAGAAACGTTCATACGTGAAGGAAGACATGATGGGGCAGTGAATCGAACTGAAGTGTTAGAATACCTGGCATGGATCGAATACGTTGTAAGTTCATTTAACTCAACATTTTCTCTGTAATATTTTGGTGATATCAAGCTTTA